CTTTTCTTACAATCTAGATCGTTGGGTGTGAGTTCAAACATAGAATCATACATTTATTGTTTACAGGCTTCCAAGAGAAGACGCCCACATGTTGAAATTGAATACGAGGACGAAACTGAAGTCCGGTCGAAACTCAAGGCTTGATCTAAACGATAAATTATATTGCAGAATTTACGTGATTCTTCTTGTTAATTGTTTTCGTTGTTTGTTGTTATGTTCCATAACATCTCTGTTATTCCTCGCTCAAGCACCTTTTAGAATCTGAGTTCTTTTCCAGCTCTTTGTTGCTTTTTGTTATGCCAGTGCAGAGTATCATCCAAATGAAGGTTCTTAAATTATACTTCACCATTTTATTTTGCGGATTTGGCCGACTATTATTTCTGATTGTGGGCTTTCTCCTTAATGCTGCTCTTTTATAGCGAGGTAATACTGTTTAGATGTCTACATTGGACCCTTCAACTGGATTCACTTGCGTTGCTTGCCACCTAGTATTCAAAACTCCAGAGCTTCAAAGGGACCATTATAAAACAGACTGGCATAGATACAATTTGAAAAGACAGGTCAGTTCAATCATCACACTTAACTAAGAGTACATCTTTTAGAATATATCTATTTTCCCCTACTTTGCGCGTATGTTGAGCCTCCCTAGCCATCGCCTGAAGAGAACTAGCAATAACTGTCTAATTGTCTCAACTTTTGCAAGTACTAATCTCTACCAGCCTCACAGTCTTAATAATATTTTCGCTTCAGTAGTGGTCACGATTTTTGGCTCCTTCCCACTAGAGTATGATCGCTGAGAGCTTTTTTTCCCTCCCTTCTAGTAGTCCTTCTCGAGAAGAAGTTATGCACGCAAAACTTCCTCTTCATCGCCCTCAATGATTTTTGAGATGCATTATTTCATTAGTGATAATGTTCTATCCAGTTCAGCGTGTCAGGCCTTTGATTGTTTTATTAAAGTATTCTTTTACTCTTAGTTCAACTGTTCACTTACAATAAAATAATTACGAATTGCTTCTATAATTAAAGATTATCATGTTTTGTTCACAATTAACATGGTAGAATTTTTACTTTAGAGAAAACAAGTTGATTAAGTTTTTGTTTAGGTTGCCGAACTACCACCAGTGACTGACGAGCAGTTCCGTGAAAAGGTTTTAGCGTTTAGAAGTGAACGAGAGGTAATATATCCATGTTTGCTTCATCATTTTCGAAAATAAGAGATCTGGCTGGATTTGCTAAATTATTTTCATAACATCATTGCTATGCTATAGGCGCAAAAGAAAGAGCAGGAAGAAGCTTCATCACTGTATTGTTCCGTGTGCCGAAAGAAGTTGAAGTCGAGAAATGCAATGGCCGATCACATTGCTAGCAAGAAGCATAAGGAAATGGAAGAGAAGGAACCAAAAGGGCCGAGGCAACCAAGGAAGGTATGTGGTTGAAGTCGATTTTTATACGTAGCTTCAGGTTAAGAAGGAGATACGGTTTTTAAGAAGACAGCCGAGCAGCTTTCTACAGCCACGTCAAAAGAAGAGGATGATCTAAATATGGGTACAAAAGAAGAGGATGATCTAAGTATGGGTATTGTGGATGATGATGAGGACGATGACAGCAGTTCAGGATGGGTGACAGATAATGGAGAAGATGACGAAGATCTTGATTTTGACGAAAGCGAGGTTAGTAGACTCAGTATACTTGTGAAGGACATTGCAGTCGTTAATCACATTCTGTTTGACGCTGGCAAGCGTGTCCATTTAATAGAAGTGGCCGTTATTTTGATTGAATTTTTGCAATCTAATTCCAAATTTTACATCAAATTCAGGCCCTACCTATCACCTCGTGTCTTTTCTGTCCGCAGACAAAAACTACAAAAGAGGAATCACTTGAACACATGCGATTCCACCATGGGTTCGTTTTGCCAGACAAAAAGTACCTTGTTGACGAAGATGGGATGCTGAAGTACTTGGGTGAGATTTTTTGGATAGCTGCCAAACAGTCATAGTTGTCATAATCCCAAAAAAATTACTTATCTTTGCAGGGCTCAAAGTAGGAGCGGGAAGATGTTGTATATTCTGCCCTGACATCAGAAGCCGCTTCGCAAGTACGACAGCTTGTCAGACACACATGCGAGACAAGCAGCATTGTAAAGTGAATCGTGACCCAGAAGGAATGTTGGAGTTCGCCGAATACTACGATTACAGGTATTGGCTCTGCTCGCCACTAGCCCTTAATCAATGATCTTTTCCAAATTTAAATCTGTTCTAGATTAAAACACTGTAAATTCCTGTTAATTATATTAAAAACAACATCATGTATATTGCACGGAATTTGGTCACACGCGTAAGTTAAAAGTAGATGACACAAATTGGTTTTCCGACTTTGAAGTTTCACGTCAAATTTTTTTTGTTCAGTGAGAATTTAGCTTTGTGCTCTTACTCTTTAGCTCTGTAGACTCGAGTTGATAATGATTGTTCCCATACTTCCCTTGGAAATGAACTATATGAACACTATTGTCTGTCTTTGTAGTCCCATGTACGATAACGACAATGATGAAGCATCTTCTGATGCTTTCTACGATGACGGGTGGAGTCTCACATTACCATCAGGTAGTTCCTTTTTGTCTCAAAGCTATTGCGCTATTTTGGTGATCTGTTCTTAGGCGCAAAGATAGGGCATCGGTCGCTGATGTTGTACTATCGCCAGTACCTTCGCCCGACAGATGGAACGAAACCGGATGTTGGAAAAACCGCTATTGAGAAGGCTCGTGGACTATATCCTGCTCTGGCTTGGACCGGTACCACAGGTTGTCCTTTTAATTTGTTAGCCGAAATTTGATCTCTTTTTAGACTATTCTTCAATACTGGCTCAATCAAATTAGTTAATTATGTTTTGTAGGTGTTGTTGCGAAACAAACCGCTAAGGACATCAAGTTCATGCAGCGTTATCGAAAACGCTTCGATCTGCGAGTTGGATTGAAGTCGAACAAGTTGTTCAAATCTCGAGGGCGAATGGGTGATAACTAATCACGTTGATGTGATTTATCTTTTCTTCTTTCTTTTCTTGTGATATGGGAATTTGAATTCTGTTGTTTAACGAAAAATACATTCTATTTTTTCGCAGGTGTTACCTCTACACAGAATTGTACAGTTGTTTGATGTATGGTGCTTCTTAGAAAGTATCTGCAGTATAATTTTTCGTTCTCTATTTCTCTCCCGCACATAAAGTTTCAGTCTCTTCATTGTCGCAGGTAATCATTAATTACTTTTGCACAATTGTATCTCTAGTTGAGTTATTAAGAGTCGTTTTCTTTTCCTTCAAATATTCTGCAGTTCCTTGTTTCTTTCATTTTTTTGTTATTGTTTTGTTAGTTTATATTTACATCTCGTCCCTTTATTTTGTTACTGTTGTGAAGAAGATTAGAAAAAGGGCTAGTGTAAAAATTATTGTAGCTGGTCAATTAGTTGCTTATATGAAAATTTGTTAGAAGTTTATGTTAATTGGCCATCCCACTAACTCCTTTCAATGGTTGGCCAGTAATAGAATGAGGACGACCACCGATTGTCGCGATTGAACGATGAGGAAGTTGTTGCTTGTTTTCCATAAATTAAATTTTTTTCAGAGTTGAACAATAAAAATATTTTTTATCAATCATTTTATTCTTGGTGTTGAAACACAACAATTATTTTTTCGAATCGTAATTATGCAGGATAGGGAAAGTTCGTTTGAAAGTCTCTGTGAGAATGTACAAGAATCGGTCAATAAGGGGCGTACCATATACCGGGTTCACTGGACACATATCAATATCGATATTAGAGATAATCAATACATATACATTTGGCGTCTAGTAGCGAGTATCATATTGAACTTATGCCTAAAGTGAATTGGCTCTAGTATATGATACTCGCTTTATGACCTCCTAATACAGATGCTTATTTTCTCACCTACTATAGTACTCGTAATGATCCGTGTGGTGTGGTCAACAGAAGTAGCGCACTATTAAAGTCACATACAATGCACAAATAAAACAACAAAACTAGCACAAGTCATTAGTTAGGAGAGATACTTGTAAGGAGCGATTGAGACAATTGAATGTGGAGAAAGGCGCGTAGCAAAAGTAGCATAGAACACGTAGCAAACACGATGAATGTTGATGATTTGGCCAAAAAAAAAA